CATGTGCGTGTGCACTCGCGCACACGCACGCACGCACACACACACACACACACACACACACACACACACACACACACACACACACACACACACACACACACACACACACACACACACACACACACACACACACACACACACACACACACACATACACACTCACACACACACACGCAGAGTTGACTTTATTAAATTATCCACGAGCCAAATAATTAAGCATATTTCATACATAATTACATAAACAGTTTCTAATTAAGTAAGGAGGCGCTACGGACCACCGGTTTTCACAAATTGCGTCACAGGAAGCGTACACACAATATCTTCATCTCTAATGACGTTCCAGCTGGACGCCATTAGTCCAACTGGACAAGCGTACGAGTGCAGCTTCAAGACAGTTAACGACAGAGCACACGTTGAACATCACAATCAAGCTCTATGACAAGCCTTCGTTTATCAACACGTCAACACACACCAACGGGCCTCAGAGTACTGGGTTACTAAGAACAGTAAAAACTAATTTAATGCTATGATGTTTTACTCTATTCTTATATCTATATATTATATATATTATATCTATATATCTATATATTATATATCTTTATATTATATCTTCAGCTATTTAGCTTCCCGTGCACATCACATCTCCAGCTATCTGACGCCTTGTATTGGGTGATATACTTGTATACTTTATATCAAATATACTTTGTATACTTTATCAAGTCTTCTTCCTGTGTTTGTGGTCTCGTTGAAGGTGAGTTAGTTACCAGTAAGGCGAATTACATTATTACTTATTAATAAATCTTCAAATCTCGCAGAAAGATTTTATGGAACTATTTTCAAATTGGCAATTTCACTATTGACTTATCAGAGAAGACGACCACTTGGGCTGAACGGTAGAGCGACAGTGATATATATATATATATATATATATATATATATATATATATATATATATATATATATATATATATATATATATATATATATATATATATATATATATATATATATATATATATAGTTGGGTTGAAACTGGTTCAGCCCACCTTCGGTCGCAAACCGCCCCACATGCCCATAAGCCACAAGATACCATCTTAATACCCTTCCAGTCGTGAGACAGTAAAGGAGATCCATCACAAAGCAGGGTATGGGTCCGAGGATCCCTACCCATACCCTACCCTACGGCTCCGTCCTACAAACAGGTTTGGGGAAGGGAGAAACTAAGGTACCATCTACTTACGAGATCGTAATGCCCTTTATCAGAGACTTAAGTCTAAGACGGGCAGAAAATGATGGGGGTTTGATGTAGTTAAGATCACTTATTAGGGTCCATATGAAGATTAAGATTAAACGCCGGAAAATAGTGTGTCGTGTATAAAGGGAACTGTGTCATGCCCGGTGATTTACAACCACGCGGGTTGAATTCCTGACATTTATGCGGTAAAAATTTAGAATTATATATTTATTTGTAAGTGTTTTATGGGACGGGTTGAGTGTGTGTTTCACAGACTGTATAATGTGTATAAGTGTGTTTGTATTCAATCATACTAATATGTATGAATTAATATCATTCATATGTAAGTAATACTGCTATTGATTATACATGGAAAATGCAAGTAACCCAAAATCTTGAAAGAAAAAAATAAATCTCCATATTAATTCAGAAAATATTGATGCAATGGTCTCGCAGTGGCTTCTCCGGCCGCACCATCATGGTGCAGGCGGTACTGCATATGTCTGGCAAGTCCAGGAAGAAGGGGAGGCAATTATGAGGGGAAAGCGCCAAGCCATTATTGCTATATAACACTTGGAAGGGGTCAGGATAAGGATTTGGGATGGGACGGGAGGAAGGAATGGTGCCCAACCACTTGGACCGTCGCTCTTCCGTCCACCTCATTCCAGGAACGAGAGTTCGATCCCATTCAACTGCCTCATTATTTCCATAAATGAATTATGTTATTGTGGTTTTATGGTGTATTAATCCTCATTTTTCCTCATCGCCTGACGTGATGAGTTAAGCCAAATCAGCGAGACGCAACCTGTCCTCTCAGCTGATACGTCGATTTTGTTACGGAGTCAACAAATCTGTTAATAATACGATGTATCAGTAAAAAACTGAAGCATCGTAATACTGACGTTTTGAATACAGCAGCTTCGGTATGGGTTAGGTGGGAGGCTTGGGTTCACACGTTTGTTTAAGGCAAAACAGATGCCTTTGTTACGGAGTGACAGAGCTTGAGAACAGACAGAGCCCAAACTGTTCTCATGATTAACAACGGCGTATATATATTTACTAACACGTTGCTTTTATAACGTATTCCTCGATTCCGTATACAACAAAAAGGGGGGGGGACGTAATAGGCTTTTGTTTATCATGAATTCCTCACCATTTATCTTGTATTATCTGAATGATAGTTCCTCGCTCCCTTGCACTTATCTGGGTTAATGTCGATTAACCACTACTTCAATCATTCTCAAAGTACATCAAAGTCATTTTGTGATCTTCCTACAATCTTCTTATAATCTTTCTACAATCTTTGCTAAGCTTTAAGATTATAAGATGATTATAATCATCTTATAATCATCCTACAATCTTCCTACAATCCTCCGATAATCATCCTATAATCTTCCTATAATCTTCCTACAATCATCCTACAATCTTCCTACAATCATCCTACAACCCTCCGACAATCATCCTATAATCATCCTACAATCCTCAGACAATCATCCTATAATCTTCCTACAATCATCCTATAATCATCCTACAATCCTCAGACAATCATCCTATAATCATCCTACAATCCTCCTACAATCATCCTACAATCCTCCGACAATCATCCTATAATCATCCTACAATCTTCCTACAATCCTCCTACAATCATCCTACAATCCTCAGACAATCATCCTATAATCTTCCTACAATCCTCATATAATCATCCTACAATCCTCCTACAATCATCCTACAATCCTCCTACAACCATCCTATAATCTTCCTATAATCTTCCTATAATCATCCTATAATCATCCTACAATCCTCCTACAATCATCCTACAATCCTCAGACAATCATCCTATAATCATCCTACAATCCTCCTATAATCATCCTACAATCCTCCTACAATCATCCTACAATCCTCAGACAATCATTCTATAATCATCCTACAATCCTCCTATAATCATCCTACAATCCTCCTACAATCATCCTACAATCCTCAGACAATCATCCTATAATCATCCTACAATCCTCCTATAATCATCCTACAATCATCCTACAATCCTCCGACAACCATCCTATAATCATCCTATAATCATCCTACAATCCTCCTACAATCCTCCGACAATCATCCTATAATCTTCCTATAATCATCCTATAACCCTCCTATAATCTTCATACAATCCTCACATTTTCCAATTCCCTTCATCAATTTGCCAATGTCCTGTAACCGTTGGTGCGGGTGTAGTGACTCGTCGCGTGCACCGTGTCTACATAAACCAGTTCGAACCCCTTGTGGTACTGTACTCTAAGACACTCCCCCCCCCCCCTTCCTCCCCCCACCCTCCCTCACAGCGGCGCTGTTTCCAGTCAGAGAGGTATTCTCTTATTGAATATTAGTACTATGCTAGTTAACGCTGTTATCTAGCATAGTTAACGTTGTTAACTATGCTAGTTAACGCTGTTAACTAGCATAGTACTAACTACCCAGAGTATTGCGAGGCTGCACAGTGCATCACGAAGGTCTAATGAGCATCACCAAGCTCTAAAGTGCTTCACCAAGCTCTACAGAGCTTCACCGAGCTCTACAGAACATCACCAAACTCTAAAGAGCTTCCGCAAGCTCTACAGAGCTTTACCGATCTCAACAGAGTTTCACCAAGCTCTACAGAGCTTTACAAAGCTCCACAGAGCTTCACCGAGCTCTACAGAACATCACCAAGCTCTAAAGAGCATCACCAAGCTCTAAAGAGCATCACCAAGATCTACAGAGCTTCACCGAGCTCTACAGAGCTTCACCGATCTCTACAGAGCTTCACCAAGCTCTACAGAGCCTCACCAAGCTCTACAGAGCTTCACCAAGCACTACAGAGCTTCTCCAAGCTCTACAGAGCTTCAAAAAGCACTACAGAGCTTCCACAAGCTCTACAGAGCTTCACCGAGCTTTAAAGAGCATCACCGAGCTCTACAGTGCTTCGCCGATCTCTACAGAGCTTCACCGAGCTCTACAGAGCTTTCAAGAGCATCACCGAGCTCTAAAGAGCATCACCGAACTCTACAAAGCTTCACCGATCTCTACAGAGCTTGACCGAGCTCTACAGAGCTTGACCGAGCTCTACAGAGCATCAACAAGCTCTAAAGGGCATCACCAAGCTCTAAAGAACATCACCAAGCTCTAAAGAGCATCACCAAGCTCTACTTAGCATCACCAAGCTCTAAAGGGTATCACCAAGCTCTAAAAGGCATCACCGAGCTCTAAAGGGCATCATCGAGCTCTACAAAGTTTCACCAAGCGCTACATAGCTTCGTCGAGCTCTACAGAGCTTCACCAAGCTCTAAAGAACTTCATCAAGCTCTAAAGAGCTTCATCAAGCTCTAAAGAGCTTCACCAAGCACTATAGAGCTTCACCACGCACTACAGAGTTTCACCAAGCTCTAAAGAGCTTCGCCAAGCTCTAAAGAGCTTCGCCAAGCACTACAGAGCTTCACCAAGCACTACAGAGCTTCACCAAGCACTACAGAGCTTCACCAAGCTCTAAAGAGCTTCACCAAGCACTACAGAGCTTCACCAAGCACTACAGACCTTCACCAAGCACTACAGAGCTTCACCAAGCACTACAGAGCTTCACCAAGCTCTAAAGAGCTTCGCCAAGCTCTACAGAACACCGCCAAACTTCACATAATTACACAAAGAGCCACAAAGGAGAGTCAGAAGAATGTTTTCAAACTTAATTCAACACAATTAGGCAATTAGTTCCCGCCTTAACAACTTTTATAAGTCTTCAACTTTATCCCTGAATTTGGTCACTATCACCAGAACCCTTAATGTAACTATTATCAGCACCCTTAATGTCACTATTATCAGCACCTTTAATGTCACTATTATCAGCACCCTTAATGTCACTATTATCAGCACCCTTGTCACTATCACCAAGACCCTTGTCACTATTATGAGCACCCTTGTCATCATCACCAGGACCCTTGTCACTATCACCAGAACCTTTGTCACTATCACCAGGACCCTTGTCACTATCACCAGGACCTTTGTCACTATCACCAGGACCCTTGTCACTATCACCAGGACCTTTGTCACTATCACCAGGACCCTTGTCACTATCACCAGGACCTTTGTCACTATCACCAGGACCCTTGTCACTATCACCAGGACCTTTGTCACTATCACCAGGACCCTTGTCATCATCACCAGGACCCTTGTCACTATCACCAGCACCCTTGTCACTATCACCAGGACCCTTGTCACTATCACCAGGACCTTTGTCACTATCACCAGGACCCTTGTCATCATCACCAGGACCCTTGTCACTATCACCAGCACCCTTGTCACTATCACCAGGACTCCTTGTCACTATCACCAGGACCCTTGTCACTATCACCAGGACCCTTGTCACTATCACCAGGACCCTTGTCACTATCACCAGGGCCCTTGTCACTATCACCAGGACCCTTGTCACGATCACCAGCACCCTTGTCACTATCACCAGGACCCTTGTCACTATCACCAGCACCCTTGTCACGATCACCAGCACCCTTGTCACTATCACCAGGACCCTTGTCATCATCACCAGGACTCTTGTCACTATCACCAGGACCCTTGTCACTATCATCAGGACCTTTGTCACTATCACCAGGACCCTTGTCATCATCACCAGGACCCTTGTCACTATCACCAGCACCCTTGTCACTATCACCAGGACTCCTTGTCACTATCACCAGGACCCTTGTCACTATCACCAGGACCCTTGTCACTATTACCAGCACTCTTGTCACGATCACCAGCACCCTTGTCACTATCACCAGGACCCTTGTCACTATCACCAGCACCCTTGTCACGATCACCAGCACCCTTGTCACTATCACCAGGACTCCTTGTCACTATCACCAGGACCCTTGTCACTATCACCAGGACCCTTGTCATCATCACCAGGACTCTTGTCACTATCACCAGGACCCTTGTCACTATCATCAGGACCTTTGTCACTATCACCAGGACCCTTGTCACTATCACCAGGACCCTTGTCACTATCATCAGGACCTTTGTCACTATCACCAGGACCCTTGTCACTAGCACCAGGACCCTTGTCACTATCACCAGGACCCTTGTCACTATCATCAGGACCTTTGTCACTATCACCAGGACCCTTGTCATCATCACCAGGACCCTTGTCACTATCACCAGCACCCTTGTCACTATCACCAGGACTCCTTGTCACTATCACCAGGACCCTTGTCACTATCACCAGGACCCTTGTCACTATCACCAGGACCCTTGTCACTATCACCAGGACCCTTGTCATCATCACCAGGACTCTTGTCACTATCACCAGGACCCTTGTCACTATCACCAGCACCCTTGTCACTATCACCAGGACCCTTGTCACTATCACCAGGACCCTTGTCACGATCACCAGCACCCTTGTCACTATCACCAGGACCCTTGTCACTATCACCAGCACCCTTGTCACGATCACCAGCACCCTTGTCACTATCACCAGGACCCTTGTCATCATCACCAGGACTCTTGTCACTATCACCAGCACCCTTGTCACTATCACCAGGACCCTTGTCACTATCACCAGGACCTTTGTCACTATCACCAGGACCCTTGTCATCATCACCAGGACCCTTGTCACTATCACCAGCACCCTTGTCACTATCACCAGGACTCCTTGTCACTATCACCAGGACCCTTGTCACTATCACCAGGACCCTTGTCACTATTACCAGGACCCTTGTCACGATCACCAGCACCCTTGTCACTATCACCAGGACCCTTGTCACTATCACCAGCACCCTTGTCACGATCACCAGCACCCTTGTCACTATCACCAGGACCCTTGTCATCATTACCAGGACTCTTGTCACTATCACCAGGACCCTTGTCACTATCATCAGGACCTTTGTCACCATCACCAGGACCCTTGTCACCATCACCACCACCCTTGTCACTATCACCAGGACTCCTTGTCACTATCACCAGGACCCTTGTCATCATCACCAGGACCCTTGTCACTATCACCAAGACCCTTGTCACTATCACCAGGACCTTTGTCACTATCACCAGGACCCTTGTCATCATCACCAGGACCCTTGTCACTATTACCAGGACCCTTGTCACTATCACCAGGACCTTTGTCACTATCACCAGGACCCTTGTCATCATCACCAGGACCCTTGTCACTATCACCAGCACCCTTGTCACTATCACCAGGACCCTTGTCATCATCACCAGGACCCTTGTCACTATCACCAGGACCCTTGTCATCATCACCCAGGACTCTTCTCACTATCTGTACACAGAGTGAGGAAGATATATAGAGGACAGTGCCGTAAGTACCATTGACTGCCAGTGACCACAGTAAACTAACATTGTAACTTACTATAGAGCTGAAAGTCAGGAGGGCAGTACACTGGTCAAGAATAACTGAACACCGTTTTATTGAAAAAAGGGAAATATGATGAAATAAGGGAGTGCCAAGCCAAAATGCAATTATTTTATTTTAATTACTAGAGAAATTTAATTTGTGCCAGAGAACATTAATCAAAACGACATATGGCCTTCAGTAAAAAGGCTTTACCAAATTCGTAAAGCAATGGTACTTGTGCATTCCAGTTGAGGTTTACACACAAAAAATGCAGTTTCAAGTCTAATATACTTTAGTATAAATCAAATAAATGTTATATAATATAGAACGATAAAGCAATGTAAAGGATTTGGGTGTACTCGTGTCGGAAGATCTCCCCTTTAAAGATTAAAGAACACAGTAAAGTAGCCGTCACAACTGCAAGAAAAAATGACAGGTTGGATAACAAGAACCTTTCACACTCGAGATGCTGTACTGATGATGATACTCTTTAAGACGCTAGTGCTCTCTAGAGTGGAACACTGTTGCACAATGACAACCCCTTTCAAAGCTGGATAAATTGCTGACCTGGAGAACGTGCAGAGATCCTGTACTGCTAGAATCCACTCAGTAAAACATCTAAACTATTGGGACTGACTAAAACGCCTAAATTTGTATTCTCTTGAGCACAGGCGGGAGAGAGGTGCACCTGATTGCTCTTGATGGAAGATGACAGGTCAAACGTCTCGTCAGCTTGGTCGACGTCATACCTATGTACTTATATTGAAGGTTACATCCTTCGTGGGGGCAAGTGTACATGTATACAACGCTTGACTGCTGTAGAGGGTTCTCCGTTGGCTTCGGGCTGTTTTTAATAAAGAAGGCGGTGGTCTCCTTTGTTTTATAGAATATGATCAGGTCTATGATTGGTTAGGAGTAATGCTTTTTACTCCATTACAGATTATTTCTTTCATTATTCTTTCTTCTTTTTTATGTTCATTGTTCATGGTTGATTTGTAATATAATTTTATTGGAGGTGTTGTGGTTTCTGTTCTTGGTTCATGATTATACCATCGATTCAGGTGTCGTCTTATTGTAGTGTTTATTTCTGTGTTGCTATATCCATTGTTCACCAACACCTGAGTTATTCTTTTAGACTCTCTACTCACGTTGTTCCATTCAGAGCAGTGGGTAAGAGCTCGACGAACATAAGCGTTAAGAACACTGGCTTTGTATCTTCGGGGGCACTCACTCTTACCGTTTAAGCTTAATCCTATGTATGTAGGCTTAGTATATACGCTGGTGCTTAAAGAGGTTCCTATTTTTGTTATAAGTACATCCAGGAATGGCAGACTATTATTTTCACTATTTTCATGGGTAAACCGAAGTACTGATTCTCTCTCTTTAGATGGCTTTTTAGGTTGGTTAGTTCATCCGGGTCTTTTACTATGACGAATATGTTATCAACATAACGGCAGTATATCATTGGTTTTTGCCTACTACAGAAGACTAGTTCTTTGTTCTACAATTCCACATGGTTCTCTTTCATCGATGGTTCCACATGGTTCTCTTTCATCGATGGTTCCACATGGTTCTCTTTCATCGATGGTTCCACATGGTTCTCTTTCATCGATGGTTCCACATGGTTCTCTTTCATCGATGGTTCCACATGGTTCTCTTTCATCGATGGTTCCACATGGTTCTCTTTCATCGATGGTTCCACATGGTTCTCTTTCATCGATGGTTCCACATGGTTCCACACGGATCTCTTTCTTCGATGGAACCATCGAAGAAAGAGTCTTCTGACTATTAATGGTATAAATTGTATGTACCTGAACCCCCTAGTAGTATGGTAAGTACCTGACCCCCCCCCCCTTAATGGTATAAATCTTATATGCCCAGTTCGGACCCATCATTTGAGAATGAACCATGTACGTTCGAAACGTTGTGTAAATTTATAATACGTGTAAGACATTCTAGAGTTAATTATTTCTTTTAGTTTACCTCTCTCAAGATAACCTCGAATAAAGATGACATTTGGACAAATCGTCTTCCAATTAAACCAAGATGCAAGAGCACTAGTCAGAGGGATTGAAGATCTAAAAAACAAAAAAACAAAAAAAAAATATATATATATATATATATATATATATATATATATATATATATATATATATATATATATATATATATATATATATATATGTCGTACCTAGTAGCCAGAACGCACTTCTCTGCCTACTATGCAAGGCCCGATTTGCCTAATAAGCCAAGTTTTCATGAATTAATGTTTTTTTGACTACCTCTAACCTACCTAACCTAACCTAACCTAACTTTTTCGGCTACATAACCTAACCTAACCTATAAAGATAGGTTAGGTTAGGTTAGGTAGGGTTGGTTAGGTTCGGTCATATATCGACGTTAATTTAATCTCCAATAAAAAAAAATTGGACCTCATACTTAATGAAATGGGTAGCTTTATCATTTCATAAGAAAAAAATTAGAGAAAATATATTAATTCAGGAAAACTTGGCTTATTAGGCAAATCGGGCCTTGCATAGTAAATCATCAGAGATTTTCTGTGAAATAATACTTAAAAGTAGATTTATATAGAAGAGAAATTAGTACAGGGTATATGAACCACATCTATGATGTATGAAGGCTATGATATAGCAAGGACACACCTTGATATAGCAAGGACACACACCTTGATATAGCAAGGACACACACCTTGATATAGCAAGGACACACACCTTGATATAGCAAGGACACACACCGTGATATAGCAAGGACACACACCTTGATATAGCAAGGACACACCTTGATATAGCAAGGACACACACCGTGATATAGAAAGGACACACGATCTGATGATAACTTATAATATACAAGAATATAAAAAACACATTATTAATTAACATGAAATATATGTTTGACACTAATACCAAATCAAACAACAATGGGTATATAATACTCATAAATACTATATAATCGGATGGAAAACATATACGAAAAATGTATACGTGAGATCTAATTGATGTATAAGATTAATTAAGTACAGGTAAGAAATGGGGTGATGGAGACAAATTACCTTGTCCCAACCTCAGGCGATTTCTTAGACGGAAGAGTTATTTGACCAAAATATATGACCATCACTGTGGGCGTTCATTGTTAACAGCATGAGCCACGATAGGGCCCCGGAACGATGGTTTAATCCTCCGAATTGTTCCAACTGGTTTTTTTCACTAATGAATCACGCCATTGTGGTTTACCTGTGTACTAAACACCTGTGGTTTACCTGTGTACTAAACACGTTCGTCAGTACACTCCTTCATTCTCCACACCTCTTGCTTCCCTCTTGACGTGTTGTTCACTCGGCCGGGTTGTTCTTCTCTAGAGTGAGGGTTGTTCTTCTCTAGAGTGAGGGTTGTTCTTCTCTAGAGTGAGGGTTGTTCTTCTCTAGAGTGAGAGGACGTATTTTTTTTACCATTGACATGGCCATATATTTACAATGCTAACCAGCATTTGTACATTTTTTTCTGTTCTCCATGGACAGGGTGAGAGATCTGTTATACATATAGTTCAGTGATTTATTGAACAACCAACCACATGTGATTGTAGTGCTTTTAAAATGCAAATCTAGCTAACAAACATACATACATACATACATACATACATACATACATACATACATACATACATACATACATACATACATACATATATACATACATACATACATACATACATATATTTAGTCTGACCTATATAAACAGTGTTTGAGACATATTCTTATACATAATGTGATTATAATGGGAGTTTAGACAATAGAGAGAAAGCTTAGAAGGAACGAACTAACATACAATTACAAAAACCTGAATGTGTATTTATGTGTTTATTTACTATTTATGCCTGCAGGATTGATCTCTTAGCTCTTGGACCCCGCCTTTTTAACTGTCGGTTGATTAATGTACTGACTCCCGACCTATTTTTCTCTGACATATCTACAACATATATATTTATCTGGCTCTTTACACACTCTACTGGCTCTTTACAGGCTTTACTGGCTCTTTACACACTGTACTGGCTCTTTAAACACTCTACTGGCTCTTTACAGGCTTTACTGGCTCTTTACACACTCTACTGGCTCTTTACACGCTCTACAGGCTCTTTACACACTCTATTGGGTCTTTACTCACTCTACTGGCTCTTTATACGCTCTACTGGCTCTTTACACACTCTACTGGCTCTTTACACACTCTATTGGGTCTTTACTCACTCTACTGGCTCTTTACACACTCTACTGGCTCTTTACACACTCTACTGGCTCTTTACACACTCTACTGACTCTTTACACGCTCTCCTGGCCCTTTACACGCTCTACTGGCTCTTTAAACGCTCTACTGGCTCTTTACACACTCTACTTACTCTTTACTCACTCTACTGGCTCTTTACACGCTCTACAGGCTCTTTACACACTCTATTGGGTCTTTACTCACTCTACTGGCTCTTTATACGCTCTAATGGCTCTTTACACACTCTACTGGCTCTTTACATACTCAATTGGGTCTTTACTCACTCTACTGGCTCTTTACACACTCTACTGGCTCTTTACACACTCTACTGACTCTTTACACGCTCTCCTGGCCCTTTACACGCTCTACTGGCTCTTTAAACGCTCTACTGGCTCTTTACACACTCTACTGACTCTTTACTCACTCTACTGGCTCTTTAAACGCTCTACTGGCTCTTTACACGCTCTCCTGGCCCTTTACACGCTCTACTGGCTCTTTACACGCTCTACTGGCTCTTTACACGCTCTACTGGCTCTTTTTACAAGCTCTACTGGCTCTTTACAGGCTCTACTGGCTCTTTAAACGCTCTACTAGCTCTTTACACGGTTTATACTGGCTCTTTACCAGCTCTCCTGACTCTTTACCAGCTCTACTGGCTCTTTACCACCTCTACTGACTCTTTACCAGCTCTACTGGCTCTTTACAGTCTTTACTGGCTCCTTAAATGCTCTATACTGGCTCTTTAAACGCTCTACTGGCTCTTTAAACACTCTACTGGCTCTTTAAACGGTCTACTTCTTCTTTAAATGCTCTACTGGCTCTTTACACGCTCTACTGGCTCTTTACACGCTCTACTGGGTCTTTAAACGCTCTAGTGGCTCTTTACACGCTCAACGGACTCTTTAAACGCTCTACTGGCTCTTTACACGCTCTACTGCCTCTTTACAGTCTTTACTAGCTCCTTAAATGCTCTATACTGGCTCTTTAAACGCTCTACTGGCTCTTTAAACACTCTACTGGCTCTTTAAACGGTCTACTTCTTCTTTAAATGCTCTACTGGCTCTTTACACGCTCTACTGGGTCTTTAAACGCTCTAGTGGCTCTTTACACGCTCTACGGACTCTTTAAACGCTCTACTGGCTTTTTACCAGCTCTACTGGTTCTTCATACGTTCTACTGGCTCTTTACATCCTCTAATTGCCCTTTACACGCTCTACTAGCTGTTTACACGCTCTATTGGCACTTTACACGCTCTATTGACTCTTTACACGCACTAATTGCTCTTTACACGCACTAATTGCTCTTTACACGCCCTACTGACTCGTTACAGATTCTACTGACTCTACAGGGCTCTACTGGCACTTTACACGCTCTTCTGGGTTGGTTACACTTCCCGCACTTACGTGACGAAATATCACGACTACATGTTCTATTCGTAATGAAACCCGCAGCTGGGAGCCGCCGCTAAGAGCCGCCGCTAGGAGCCGCAGCTGGGAGCCGCCGCTAAGAGCCGCCGCTGAGAGCCGCCGCTAGGAGCCGCAGCTGGGAGCCGCAGCTGGGAGCCGCAACTGGGAGCCGCAGCTGGGAGCCGCAACTGGGAGCCGCAGCTGGGAGCCGCAGCTGGGAGCCGCAGCTGGGAGCCGCAACTGGGAGCCACAGCTAGGAGCCGCAGCTGGGAGCCGCAGCTAAGAGCCGCAGCTAGGAGCCGAAGCTAAGACCCGCACTAGGACCCGCCGCTAGGAGCCGCAGCTAGGGGCCGCAGCTGGGACACCCAGCACTCCCAAGGGACACGCTATCATTATCCCATGAAATTAGCCATCAAGACCCAGAGTAGTGAGTGATGAACGAGCTATTCACCAGGCACCGTAAGGGCTGTGAACCACCACAATAAGGTACAATAATAGCCCTTCTATGATCGCATCTTATTATCTATTCTACTCTAATGAATTAAATCTATTTCAGCAAATGCTGTAATTGATTTAATTCATTACAAACGAGACTGATAAAAAAATTCATTGGGTTTTTATTTTAATTTTGTCCTGAAAGGCGAGTTTACTGTGAAATGTCACTCATCCTGTGAGTGATACCACCGCCATAGTGACAGTATTGGGCAGCGCCACTCATCCTGTGAGTGGACACACCGCCATAGTGACAGTATTGGGCAGCGCAACTCATCCTGTGAGTGGACACACCGCCATAGTGACAGTATTGGGCAGCGCCACTCATCCTGTGAGTGGACACACCGCCATAGTGACAGTATTGGGCAGCGTCACTCATCCTGTGAGTGGACACACCGCCATAGTGACAGTATTGGGCAGCGCCACTCATCCTGTGAGTGGACACACCGCCATAGTGACAGTATTGGGCAGCGCCACTCATCCTGTGAGTGGACACACCGCCATAGTGACAGTATTGGGCAGCGTAACTCATCCTGTGAGTGGACACACCGCCATAGTGACAGTATTGGGCAGCGCCACTCATCCTGTGAGTGG